ACATGGACCCTTTGGGAAAGAGGCCTGCTTTATTGCGTGGAGTGTCAGACTGCCTTGGGCGATGTTGGGTACCCAGTGGGCCATGTTCTACAACATCGGAACCTCAAGGGATTATATGGTCCTTTGTTTTCGTGCTTTTCTAGGGTTATAGAGGGGTCCTATGGGGTATAGGGATATCATCCCAAGAGTGGAGAACCCAATGGAAAAGGAGAGGCAACATGAAATGGAAACTGGGGTGATGCAGGGGGCTTCAGAGGGATCATGACCGACCTTATGGTCCTAGAGTCCCTCAATAATTGAAAGTAGAGGGTGCCTCAAACACGCCTTAGGTTGAGGGTTAAGGGTGTAGGGTTTTAATTATATGTATTTAGGCCACGATGGTAGTCCTTGGCCTTTCGGGGTCCAGGGTTCAGGCGGGATAGTGTTGCGTAATCATTGTTCTTACTATGGGACTATGCAGTACAGGGGTCCATTTTTGGCAGTCCTTGTGTGGGGAAGACTGTACTTTGGGGGTGTATATTGGGGTCACCCTGTTCATGGAAGCTTCCATATTCTAGAGTTAGGATGGTTGACAAGCCTGTGAACAAATAAGAAATTGAGGCCTTATGAGCGCAATGACAAGCAGCTGGGTATGCGAACATGTAGATGTTTGTTCTTCAAACAGTTAGGAGAGCGTTGAATGCTTTTGCTAATTACCTGTATCATCAACATGCCCCACAAACTATCTTCTCAGCTGAATCGATTCGGTTGCAGAGGATCTTTCAGGTAGAGCCCCAAACTGCATGATGAAATTCACAGTTTAGAGGTAGAGCTACACACCAGCCTCCAAATCCTCAACCCAGGATCCACTGAAGGTTTGTTAAGGGAGTTGTCCAGCAGGGCGATGATTGTTGGTACCCAGATCAACGTCGTATCTTGGAGCAACAGGAAGATACAACAGTAACAACTATTGACACAACTTAGGGGTGAATTTCCTTAGCTGAGGTCGTAGGAACCTGCCTGCCTTTGTTCTCCCCCGAAATGCTGTCAGTACAGGCAACATCAGGAACCTGCCATCAACCCACCGGGCGGAATTTTAGCAAGCAGTACGGGGTAGCGACAGAACAAGTACCCAAATGCTCGGCATGAAGATCCATATGCTATAACTACTCTGAAAAGCCGTTGGTGTCTGAAACCCTCATATTTGGATACTTGGACCCAGAACCGCGCGTGTACCTGTATATACCTAGAACCCATATTACGGCATGTTTTAGAGTACTTGGACCTTCAGGGTATGATGAGCCTGCGTGGCTTTCCCTGCGCCAAACGGGCGTGTGGTCGGTCGTGTAGACCGAAACCAAAAAATAAACTGCGGAAGGGTATTGGGTTTGGTGAACGGCAGGGAATGGAGAAACAAGCAAATGGAAAAATGAAACGGAAACTGAGGGCGTATGCCGGCGCATAGGGTTTAGGGTCAAGGGTCAACTCGCTGGATATGAGTAGGGAAAGAAGAGATGGAAAAGAAGCTTCAAAACGATGATATTGGTGTAGCTTCGAAATGGATTCTTCGAATCGTTAATCAGCAGCAGAATGCGACAGAAGGACAGTTGACAGTGAGTATTTGAACAAGAAGAAGTTTGGAATGATCCCTCGCCCTCGACTGTCTCGTGACTCAACGCATCAACTTGAAACAAAAAGGAAGGCCGATGTAGTACACTTTAAACAGGGGTCCATCCTTGTTTATTTTCTCCAAGCAGGGGGTATCTATGGAGTCTAGAGTGCCAGGAGATGATGTTGGGATTATGGCAGGTTCCCTATCATCCAGGATGATCTAGGTTGATCCTAAACCTCGAGCCCTAAACCCTANNCTAAGCCCGAATCCCTAAACCCTATCTAGGGTTGCTTGAGAAGTTTTCCCATGCTTACCCTTAAGCTTGAGGTCATCTCTGCTGGATGCCATGATGTCCTCTGCAACCAGTGCGCAGTGGAGACACATAGCACGGGCAATCGACAGGACTGTTCCACATCTAGGGTTTAAGGGTTCAGGGTT